CCCTCTCTCTCTCTCTCTGTCTCTCCACTCTATTATGCCCAGCACCGTCGCCAAATGCCCGAAATATTCCACCCCTGTCGGCTCAACAAATCACCGTACCACCCCGACCCTGCCCCCCCCTCCCCAGTGGCGACCCGAGGGGGAAGGGGCCAGTGCCAACTGGAGCATCGCACTTGCCAGTTGTGGCGCACCATAAAACCGAGGAAGCACCTCTGACGTCATCAACGTCACAGTAGAGGAGACGGGGCGTCATACCCATTCGGACGAGACATCTGCTAGGAAGCTACCGGGGTCATATCTGCCGAGGTCATGTCCGATGGGGCCGGCATATCCGACGGGGTCATATCCGCAGGGATGACCTGTCACATCCAATGGGATGACTAGTCATATCCTATGAGATAGCCCGTCATATCCCCTGGGTCGATCCGTCATAACCTCTTTCCCGGATGGCCCATGCAAGTAGCCAGCCCTTGGTTCCACCAAGACAACCATCTATTCCATCAGTAGTGATCATTTGTCCGGGCAAGCTGCCCCCGCCAACCAAGATCATTTGAACACGGTCGGATCAAATTTAGTACTTGCTCTACCAAAAACGACCCACTGTCCACGAAGGACAATATGCATTCAACTTTTTTTCTTAAATCCGTCCTTGACCCTCCTTTTCGTTGGAGGTCACGGCAAAATGTCACGAAGGAACCTATATCATACCAGCCAGACAGGGCAACTAACAGTGCCCTCCTACCAGTTTCTTACCAACTGGTTCATGACAGTTCATGATAAAGAGCTGCTCACTTCAGAGGCCACCGCTGACCGTGAGAGGCTGGCCACGACTGAAGAGATACAAATGGCTAACATGGACAATCAATCGGCCCGCCATGAACATAAAAAGGCTGGTTCTGGGCGTTAACGACCAGGCCGGAAAAACGTTTCAGAGAATGTGATAGGAGAATTTAAGTTTATGACAGAGATGAGATTATTAGAGTGAGTTATGTCATCGAATTGGTCTCCTAAAAAACTCCGCTAGTCTTGTTTTTCCTCCACTTAAACTCCTCTGAGTTACTTTAACCCTCGCATGTGTGCGGCGTTTGCCAGCTTCTAATGTGTAGGGGGGGGGGGTCGGTTGGACCCCCCCTTGCCGTTTGGCCCCTGATCGAGCTAGAGCTTCGCGGAAAAAAACGAGCGTGTTGCCCGTGACGAGAGGAAGCCGATGATACCCAATTTTAAGGTCCTAGGTCATTGGTTGACCTTCCAGGTCAGGTCAATGACCCAAAGTCGGGAAAATCGGGACCTGTTAGAAAGTCGTAAAGTGTGGCTGCTAAGGGGTTTTTCGGGGTGCTGATCACGAATATTGTGTTAGTTTTGATCACAGATGATGTCTTTAAGCATTTAGACCAGGTCGGGTCAGGTCAGGTCAGGTCAACCAGTAGGCGTCGTGACGGGTATTCGTAGTACGTGTCAACCGCCTCTGACAGCTTCGTAACATGTTACGAAGGCACCAAAACTACTTCTTAAATGTTCAAATGGTTGCTAAATTCGAATTCAGCTCCAAAAACTAGCCTAGAAACATGTACAGCTCGAAAAAGTGAACCGAGGTCACCCGAGGTCACCAAAGGTCAATGACCTGACCTGACCTTCAGGTGACCTTGACACTCACCCTAATGCATGGAAGCAACATCAAATCACATGTTTGAACGTTTGAAACCACGAAAAGCTCGCAAAGCGCGGCTAATGCAAGCCGACATACGCAGAATCGCGATTCCGGCCAAACATGGTCTCGGAAAAGAGGTCACAGGTCAAAGGTCATTTGGGTCAGGGTCATGAAATTTTCAGAGTAGGTGTAAAATTGATCAATGTGAGGGTACTGAAAGTTTCGTCGCGATCGGCCGCTTTTTACGCGAGTTATTCGCGAAAAACCATGGGGGGTCCATCCGACCCCCCCCCCCCTACACATGCGAGGGTTAACTGAAACCGGCATAGCGATAGAAGAGTACTGGTGGTAGAATTCAAAGGCTTTATTGCGACTGAGTTGCCTTGCTATAGTAGTGTAAAACTAATGGCATTAACGTGCTATTATTACCGAATCCTGATAGCATTTTTGTGTTGTTAATTGATATTTTGGCTCAAATATTGTCTCGAATTACGCTCGCTGCGCTTATCTCCATTAATCTACATTTTACCACATTTATTTATCTCAGACATGTCACCGTAGCTGTTATGTACACCCCCCATTATTTTGGAATTATCAACATTCAAATTTTCCGATTGTTTATTCCAAATCTTGTGCCGGCCCATTAAATACTGGCTAGCCCGAAAAGCCATCCTAGAAGTCCTTTCTGTTCACAGATGAGCAGCATTTGGGGTTCCGATCACATAAAGCACACTTCACAAACTTTCGGGTCTTACGGACGATGAAAGGCGCCTGACAAACTTCGTTCGATTCAATCAAAATATGGCCAACAGCGTAAACAAATAAAATCTAGGGAACTTTTAGCATCAGCGTTGAATAATGGAGTCGTGCCAACGCATTGAGAGCTGACTCAGGCAAGAAAGACAACTTAAGTAGGTGAGTCATAAAAACGTCTAGCGACGTATGGTGCGTGACCGTTTTGTACCGGAAATGTCTTTAAATTTGTGGATCCATATTTTATGGTTGTGAATAACTAGTGTAAGATTTGATCTTTTCAATTGTTTATTATCAGCTTTGGTTCCGTATATTTTGATCCTTTAATCCGTCTGTGGCCACTTTTTGGGCAGCATCCATTTTTCCGTGGTTGCATCGACGCCCAAAATGTTACACCCCGCCAAAATTCCAGCAGTATTCACCGCACAACATGTAGCCAAGCTGACCGATCTAGGCTAATCTAGCCAGTCTAGGCTAATCTGGCATCGCGCTGGGCGCTGTGACAGCCGCCGATGCCAGATTCCGCGCCGGCGGCACAATTTTAGAACGATAATTTACAGGTGTGGCGGCGTCCGAGGACATCGCATCTGGCAGCGTGGCAGTGGGGCGCAGTGTCGCAGTTCTGCCAAGACTGGACAGGCCCAGTTTCAGATACATGCTGGGGTATGGGTAGGGTCGGTACACTAGTGAGATTTGTGGACATGTGTTGGCTCGGTTAGTAAAATCTCCAGCCAAGAACGTACTATGGTTCGCGGGGCACAGGGTGCAGAGAAATGAATACCGACACCGGTACCAGAGTGACTCAAAGAATGGCGTTTGAAGCTCTGCAATTGTCGGTTAGATTGTTTGAAAACATGCTCATGGAATGTTGTGGTAAACTATGAAATGATTTCGTTTCCATCGTGAACAAAATTAGACATAGTGCCAACTTTTTGCGACTTTGGTAGGTCTCACTCGCTAATTATTCAGTATTCACTCGCCGTTCATTATTCCAAGTCTGCCCCAACACCACACTATTTGTTCCCCTTCCCCATCAAGCGGCGGGGTGTCCGTCCATTCCGACCTGGCACTGTTTTGTGCCGCCAGACCGCCAGCAGACAGCGGGGCCATTGTCTGTCGTGTTCATTGACTCACTCCCTCACTGACCTGGGACACTATGCCTCCCCCCTCAGTGGGAGGGGGCACCCCCAAACCAAACAGAAGTCGAGCTGGAGTAAGTCCGAGCTGCCAGCCTGGCGCGGAGGCTCAAAGGTCAGATTATCCTGTACAGAAGATACTAACAACAGAGGATATAAGAAGGTGGATGTTTTTTCGTCTTGTTTTGGTTTTACCCGAAAAGAGTGTAAGGATTTGCCTTTGATAGGACAATCTCTATACGGCCTTGGGACAATCTGAGAGCTCGAAATGTTCTATGGTAACTTTTGCGACCGTTGTGAAGGAACATATAATGCGCAATTTTATCAACTGGAAACCCTTACAATATAAAATGAACACAATCATTTAATCAAATTAGCCAACAATGTGGCATTGATGGCAGTCTGAAGCTCGAATACATCGTTCGATCATCGCTTCCCTTTGCATCTCTATATCTGTACGAACGCTTGCCTTGGCGCTTCTGACGGTGACCTGCCAGCAGCTGATGGATCATATGACGTCATAACCTTTGAGGGACGGCCCAGCTGACGAAGGAGTCACGTGAGTGTCCGACTCGATTGAGACACCTACGTTGTTACGAGCCGGACGGCCGTGTCTTTTGAGCATCGGAACAGATACATTTGCTGGACGTAAATGTATAAACATAATGAACTGCCGACTGACTATTTTTGGCATAAATCGGGCGAAGGCGATTCAGCCTATAAATATGCAGCTATTATATAAAATGTATAAGTGAGCCATTGGTGTGCCGGACTGCCAGAAATAATGCATGTTATAAATAGTGTGTGTGCTATTCCGCATAAGATTTGGTGTGAGCGATAGCCAAAACTTACCCTTGCTTTATCTGGCTTGTCCTAAAATTAACATGATTGCCCTATAATTGATTGGCAGCCAGAATATTGCCCCGTGATTAATCACAACTTCTTGGCAATGCCACTGATTATCTATTTCAAATACCCCGTAACTCACACTTCCAAAAGCTGCTTACTTTTCCAGCATCGACTGCAAACATATCTCAAAGACCAAATACTTCACCAAAGTCTCCTGCCCCTAATATCTTCAAAAAGGATAGCCTATGGAATATCTGCCCATGTCCTCCTTACCTTTTCCTTCTCTACCGCTCGCATCTCCTTTATGTTTCCCCCCCCCCCTCTCCACGACCAAGCCCCCTCCGATTTCTATCCCACTGCCGAAAGCCCTTCTCTCTGTAGCGGGGTTTATCTATCCTGCCTTGGCCCATCCTTCCCGTTTCCATTCCAAGCCCTTCGTTGTCTCTTTAAGCCCGCTGTTTCCCACATTTCTATTCCTTTCCCTCCTCTCCTTCTTTTCTCTGCCTTCCCCCGTCGTTTTCCTCCTTCACTCGCCGCCCATGCCCCAAGTGACATCCCTCCCGCTGCCGTGCCTCAGCCCGCAATCCTACCTAAGCCCACCCTGGCGCTTTTACCTGCACCACAAAGCCCCACGTGGTGAGAAGCAAGACGAGCAGGCGGGCAGGGGGCTGAAGACAGCCACTCGCGCCATCGCCCGCACCACACGAGTTATCTGGCGACAAACGCGTCCGGCGGCGTCAGGTCACAGGTCAGCGCAGAGGTCACAGGTCAGTGCAGGTCAGAGGTCAGCGCAGAGGTCATAAGTCAGCGCAGAGGTCAGAGGTCAGCGCAGAGGTCACAGGTCAGCGCAGGCCACATGTCAGCGTACGTCAGAGGTAGAGCGGGTCAGAGGTCAGCGCAGGTCACAGGTCAGCGCAGAGGTCACAGGTCAGCGCAGAGGTCATCAGTCAGCGCAGAGGTCACAGTTCAAAAGGTCAGCGCAAAGGTCAAATGCGTCAAGCCACTGTCAGCCCAAAACATCATTAGTTGGCGCGAAGATCGTAAGTCAGTGGTCAGAGATTATCGCAAGGGTCAAACATGTCAGGTCACAGGTCAGCACAAAGATCAAACAAACCAGATCATGGGTCAGCATAAAATTCAATCAAGTCAAATCACAGTTCAACACCTTGTCATAGGTTGAGTCACATGTCACAGGTCAGCACGAAGGACCAACGCATCAGTCAGAAGTCAGCTTTTTGGTCGCGTTCAGGTAATGTTAAGCGTTAGGTGACAAGTCACCGGTAGCACATGTCGACGTTAGGTCAGAGGTCAGAGGCCCACAGTTCAAGCGTCAGGGTCATTCACGGGTCAGAGATCAGCTGTCTGAGGCGATTCCCTAGTTCAGAGCTCAATAAATGACTATGCTAATGAACATAAACGTCAGTCATTGGAAAATTTTGAGAATGTACAGTAGGTCGTATGTGACAGTCATTGTCAATCCAGGCTAGGTTGCCCGTCTGTCAAAGCCATGTTGCAGGTCATAGGTCAACGGTGTGAGTCGGTTGTCAGGTCAAGTAGCTTAGGGTGAGAAAATTTGGGGATAATAATTATCACCACAAAGCCCTTAACAAAATTTTGCGTGATAGGTCTGGAAGTTGCCGAAACCCCAAAGCTGCTACAATCATAAATTCAGGAAGGACAAAATAAGTTATCTTTTAAAGACAAAGTCCAAGCCCCAACCGGAAAGTCTACAGCTCTCAATATGAGCCGGGTAGCCGAATGGCAAGAAACTGGCTTCAAAATTACATATCCATAAAAGCGATAAAAGAAAAGAGCAAGATCTCCCGTTTTACCAGCTTGGTCTACTGGAATGAAACTAATGTGAAACATGGTGAAACTTTGTGCAATGAACAAGGTGTGTTAAATAGTGCATCGGCACATGTAAATCCACATTCAGTAAAGTTCATCAAATTAAATAAATTTATTTTTAGAAAGAGAAGTATGGGTAATCGGTAAATGAGGAAATACGTGAGGTTTGTTGGGGTAGATAACCTGAGATAAAATGTCACACATGTCTGTCAAAACATGAATGACAAACACACCAATTGTTGTGACAAAGTTAGCTGAGATTCATCAAAAAAAGAGTGAGAATTTATAGTTACTTAATCAAAGAAGGCATCAGCAAATTGTGAAAAGCAAGACAGTTAGCTTTATTTTACTGTGGATGCCATCGAAAGCAACATGAATAGCATAGAATGAGTTCAAGTACGTTAGTCGAAATGTTTCTAACAGCAAAACAACAGCGAAAGTGACAACAAATCACAACGTAAACGAAATCAGAAAACAAACGACACAATTCAGAACTACCCGAAAAGGGTGACAAACCAGAATAACTAAAATCATAACAAATGCCCTTCTTCATTTCATAGAAAAACTCCCACTATCCCAAAATATATTTTACATTACATTTACATAAAAAAATCATGCATATAATGATCAATTTAATTGATAACATATCTGATAACCAACGTATTCGATTACCAAAGTGATTGATTCATAAATGACAAAATAATTATAACAGCAACAGAACAATAAAAGCGACAGGATATAAAAGCATTTAAAACCTTCAACGCCATTCCCACCACCAGTTGGAGCGTACCCCCCCCCCCCCCTAACTCGTGCTTCCATTTTACATGTAAAGGCACCAGAGGCACCCACCCAACCGCGCAATCACGTATGTACTACGCAGTTCACATGAACTATCCCAGTAATCACTGGCAATTTACTTTACTCCCAATTTGCAGCGGCAACACCATACAGCCACACGTCACTGGCTATCAGGGTTACTCAAATCAGAGGTCAGGGCACGAGTGTATAGTGTGGATCCCAAAGCTTTGAATGGGCTTCCGGGCGGCGTATTCGCCAATAGTATTACACGAATCGGCCCACCAACTAGCGACATCTCTAGTGCGACGTCATAGCCATCCGACGTGACAATCATGCATTGAGGCCAGATTTGAGTTGAGACTTTTTTTTAACCCGCGCCCTGATGGGGGGGGCCATTTTGGCCCCCCCCTGTGGTTTTTCTTAAATAGCGAGAAAACGGCGGCGCGCAGCGCCGCCAAATTTTGGGTACCTTACCGGGCATCAATTTGACACCTTCACACAAAATTTCAAGTCACAGGTCACCTCAGGTCAGGAGTTATTGAGGTCAAACTGAGGTCATGTTCGAGCAAAAATGAGCAAAAAACATGACATCTTGAAACGCTCACCAATTCTACAGTTAACAAGCAATTTTAAAGTTCTTTATGTGGTTGTGTAGAGAAAAGACGGCGCTACAAAACTGCTATCTCGGATTTTCGAAATTTTGGGAATTTGACCCCCAAAAATCAAAAAAATTGATTTTTTTAGAAAAACTCAAAAAATTCCAAAAAAATTTCGAATTTCGAAAAAACCGGAATATATGTGATAGTCCCTGCGCTCTTCGATATACATACCAAATTTTAGATCGATACCTCTTTTTTTGGCCAAGTTATGGCGAAAAAACTGTTAAAAATTGATGACGTCAAATTTTTGAACTCAATTTTTAGCAATTCTAGACCTCGTAGCGCAAAACGGAGACCACCATTGAACTCCCCGTGACGAGCTGCATCGAATCGATACCCATTTTATGCAAAAATATCAACTTTGAAATTTGACCTAATTTGACCTGACCTTGACCTGACCTTGACCTGACCTTGACCAAAACGTGACCTAAGCTGGCCCTAAAGTCTGTCTGACCCACATAATCGCATTTGTCATGTAAAATGGACCATAAAACATGTATCACACGACACTTTCATATTGTGACCCCCCCAGTGACCTGACCTCTGTGACCTGACCTGGTATCAGTGACCTCAAATAGCAAAATGTGTTTTTGAAGAACATTTCTCCATCGATGATTTTGAATGAAGTGCATTTTACTCGATTTTACAACGCATTTCTTGAAATGCCTGTAAACGGTGAAAATTCGACCTTTGACCTGACCTGTGACGTCATCGGTTTGACCGAGGTCAATGAAATTGGGTCACAAGGTAGTTCCCCGCTGGGGCTATCCAACACCGTTTACCGCTTGTCGCTATGTTGCGTGGTTCTCGAGATCTGAGGGGGGGGGCCAAAATGGCCCCCCCCCCCATCAGACCGCGTTGCTCGGCAGACCCCATCTGGGCGCGGGTTAATTGTATATGGCAATTCAATTGACAGTGTATCGTCGTAGCCGAGTGGTTAGAGTCTCGGTGTGATGAGCGAAAGGTCGATGGTTCGATTCCTGCTTTAGCGGTTCTTTTCTAAGAAGTCGGTTTTAGACACGCATTTTTGGCCCCTAGGCCCTAAGTTCGCACGCCAATATCGTACGACCAATAAATCTATGACAAGTATTCATCTGATTAAGGAATAAGTTGCAAAAGAACTGCAGTTGCAGTCTGTACCTGAAATACCAATTGTGTTACGGTACTGTCGATACTGTCGATCCCCTGGTGGCAGAAATGTTAAAGTTATAGTTAAGGCATAGCTCCTATAGATGACGCCTTTGACGGCTGGAAACTGATAATCTCGTCCCCTGATTACGCTAACAGCTATGCCCAACTTTTTTGTGCATGGTGATTCTTACATGAAAACTATCTATTGCATGCTAACCAGCGTGCGATTTTTAGCTTAGTTTTCGCTACTTTTAGGTACTTTACCTTGCCAAGTGCCACCTACTTTCAAAAGGTCAGCGCCACCCCTGTCATATCCAGCAGGAGCTGCGTGCTCGGTGCTTTCACCCATTGGCAGTGAGAAATATTGATCAATGGTCATCGCCCAGCACCATTTGTCTTTCCATTGGCTACGTTCGCATAGTATGCACTATGCATTAGTGATGTCAATTGTCAATCACAGAAAATCAGAACACCGATACCAAACCAAATTCAAACAAAAACCATTGGAAAATACCGAAACCGAACCAATCTGTTGGACTGCAAATATTTCTCTTAGGTATGCAACATATTCATTTGAAGAATGCTTGCCTCTGATTTCTTAGGTGCACGCCGTTGCAAATGTATCCAAAAAAACGCACAATGACAGATAACACGAAAATTGATGTCGCCGAGTGGATTCGAACCACCTACTTCCATATCACCATTCCGATACTCTAACCACTGCGCCACGGCGTCAACACGTACGATGGAGTTTAAATGTCATTAAGCTAAAACTTAGCTTCAATAGACTCCACCAAGGGCGAGGACCGAACGTATGACGCCACGCTGACGTCACTCAAGAGGCACGCTATTGGTCGGGCCGATTCGTGTAATACTATTGGCGAATACGCTTCCGGGCGCCGGGGCACCAGGCACAGGCCGGCCTGACACGCCACATCAGCGCTAAATATGACACAGGCGTACGGCAGAGGAAAGTTAAATAACTAGTTTTCTTGTTTTCACCCAGGCACGCATTCCAAACTGAAAAAGAGGCGAAGGTCGCGAGGGACCTTGAAACCTAAATTTAGGTGTCAAATTAAAGGTAGTGTGCCAGCTTTCTTGGACCGTATGGAGTTAATGGCCCAGATAAGGAGAACCGGATTTTTAGAACTTATCCATACCTTCAAAACTCATGGAAACGTCTTAAATTCTTCAAATTTTGAGTACCCCAGTGCGAAATTCGCCCCGACGGGTTGTCGGTCGTACCCCAACCACATTTCACACCACTATGAACAAT